TCTGACCTTCTACCGACCACCCGCACGACCTTTTACAGAAGCACGGGCATCGGTTGCACATTGTTAGTGCCGTGCACACAGACGAGAAAACGACGAGCCTCGGAAGAAGTCCACTCGTTTCTCGCGTGGCAAGCCCAATTCAGTGCAGGGACAGCAGCCCCACGGTCGTTTCTCGGTAGAAGCAACCTCAAGCGCTCGCACGCCATCGATTCCTCCCTAACCGCGCCTGTTTGCCACGTCTTCCACACAATTCTCGACGATTGCCACGCACGCGCCCAGACAGACCTCATTCAACCCGAGTTAACCGACAGCTGTGCGTTGTGCACGATGCTGCCAGCGGGAATCACAGAAATCAGGGACGACGTTGCGCTCAACGACAATCGTTTGATGCGGGATCAGCCGATCAGTGTTCCTAGGAACGACTGCTCTTCTGACTACCACGCCAAGCCAACCGAAACACCAAGCAAGCTTTCAACTCACTTCAGCCCAACACAACCGCAAGGTTTGTTTAGGACTTTTTCATGTGCCCGGCTCAGACAACATTGGCTCAGAGCCAAAATCGCTTTACCATTGCACACGAAAATCGCCTTCGTCCACGCTGTAACTGTTTCGGCTACGACCCCTACGACCCATCAAAGTGGTATCGCAGGGCACCACTCGCATGTGATTACATCCGAATGAAATCGCCACCGAACGCTCAGCCGATGAGAAGTGCACCCGAAAACCCTGTAGACACCGTCTGACCAGTTTTTACACTGATCGATGCCATCCGGCTCCAGACTCATAACTCCTCATCCCCCCTCATAGGTAGCACTGCACCTGCACACCGCATCATCTATCGACCCTTCGAAAATTCCCGTACGCCTTTTGAACCCTCCCAGACCGGATCCCAGAGTCGTACGGTACATCAAAAGTTGTCTAATTTTGAGTTCTATCCTGTGGCCAAAGAAATATGCCCGAAAGAACCTCATGGGCAATTTCTCGTGGCTTTCCCGTGTTTACACCATAGGGAGTTGGAGAATTTCTTGGACTTAGAAAATTTTGGAATTTTGGATTTTTTTTTTTTTGGTTGAAAATGCTACCGATGATGATGATGATGATGATGTGAAGGTGAAATTTTGGATTTTTGGATTTTTAATTTTTTTTTGAAAAAATGCTAGAGATGATGATCATGCGAGCGCGTGAGAAGACGAAATTTTTGATTTTTCAAACAAAAATTTTCTTTTTGAAAATGCTCGAGATGATGATGGTAATGAGCGTGTGAGAAGATGAACATGCAGTGCACAAGTGACGGTTCAGTAGTTTCAAGGCTGGGGGCTAATTTTGTCCCCAGCGTAGTAGAGATAGGGCCATTTGGAAAATCTCAAGGAAGAAGTAGTGCAAACGAATGTGACGATGAATGCTGTGCCATTCATAGCACCTACGGGTTTTGGTGTGACACTGCCAGCCGGTGCTACTCAAAAGAGTTAGCATACAATCGTCATGTAGGTGTAGTTCGAAGAGCAAGGGCAGTGTGCATAGTGGAGTGCAAGGTGTGAGAAGTAGTGCAACACAGTCAGTTAGCGCCAGCAGTAGTGTGACATGTAGCTAGCTGGGATAGTGTTGTTCGCACAAGAATGTGGGGTGTGAGACGTGAGATCATCTACTGAGTAGTAGTACCTTGATGTCAGTAAGGTTGAAAAGTACCGGCGCAGTGCCAGTAGTGCACGTGTGACTGGGACAGCGTGCACAATCATGGAGTGTGAGGTAATAAATAATCATTATGTCACAGTCATGTCAGTTAGCGCAAGCATCACTGCACTGTACAGAGTCATGTTGCTGGCGGCACAGTGTGCGTGTAGGGAGTGTGAGGTGTGACACGTACCGTCATGACTGTCACTTAGGGTAAGCGCTACTTATAGTAGCAGTGTACATGCATGTACGCGACATTGTACAAGTCATGTAGCCTGGGATAGGGGAACATGTGCATGCACATGTATATGCACAATGTACGTCATGTACCTTGTACATGTACATGACTGTCTATGCGTGAGTGTGGAAAATTTTCTAAGTCCAAGAAATTCTCCAACTCCCTATGGTGTAAACACGGAAAAGCCACGAGAAATTCACGGCGAACATCTTTCTTGCTGGTTCTTCTTGGAAACGGACAGAACTCAAAATTAGACAACTTTTGATGTACCGTACGACTCTGGGATCCGGTCTGGGAGGGTTCAAAAGGCGTACGGGAATTTTCGAAGGGTCGATAGATGATGCGGTGTGCAAGTGCAGTGCTACCTATGAGGGGAGGTGAAGGTGTTCGCGGCCGGGCTGTGGGAAATGTGCGTGCCCGTGCCGTATGGTCGAACACTCTCAATGCGTTGTATCCGCGCATCATTCACGCCTGGTGCTACTGGTGTATGGTCAGCTGCAGCTGTTGTTCTTTACAGCCAGCGGTACATCACGGTGCTTGTGCGTCGATGTGTGGATATTCGTGGAGAGGGTGACACCGACCAAACACCAACATATCACCTTTTCCTTGCAGTGCGATGCGCCATTGGCTTTGGGGAAGTGGCCCGTACCGGACTACATGCACACCCGTATATTATCCGTATATCCGTATATCCGTGTATCCCAATGGAAATGTCGAAGTTGCCACCTCTCTCACAAAAGGCCAAATACCTGACGGGGCTCGGTGTGAGTGGACCTCACTATAGGCAGGCAGGCAGGCGGGCGGAAATAGAGAACAATCAGAGCTGGCCCGGACCTGTTGCATCCCTACTACATCCCAATGTCCCTCTAAAAATTCCCTACAGGTCACCTCTCACAAACGGCCAAATCCATGACGGGGCCCGGTGTGAGGTGACCTCACCACAGGCACGGGCGGAAATAGAGAAAAATCAGAGCTGGCTGGCCCAAACCTGTTGCATCTCACCATCTCTACATCCCACAAGCAGTTCCAAAGGGGTGGGCACTGCTCACAGTGGGCCAAACACCTGACGGGGCCCAGGTGACAGTTGATCACACCACGGGCAGAAACGGAAAAAGGGGGGAGATGGGAGAGATGGGAGAGATGGGAGAGATGGGAGAGATGGGAGAGATGGGAGAAATGGAGGAGATGGAGGAGATGGACAGCAGAGGGATACAGGATACAGGATACAGGATACAGGATACAGGATACAGGATACGGGATACGGGGTACGGGATACGGGGTACGGGATACGAGAGAAAGGTACGGGATATGGATAAAGGTACGGGGTTCCGGATACAGGGCCACTGTGGAGCGAAAAGTGAGTTCACCATAGGGAGTTGAGAATTTTGGACTTAGAAAAAAAACGACAGTTCACCATAGGGAGTTGGGAGTTCACCATAGGGAGTTAGGAGTTCACCATAGGGAGTTGGGAGTTCACCATAGGGAGTTGGGAGTTCACCATAGGGAGTTAGGAGTTCACCATAGGGAGTTGGGATTTCTAGGACTCTGCTGAAAAATGGTCAGTTCACCATAGGGAGTTGGGATTTCTGGGACTTTGCTGAAAAATGGTCAGTTCACCATAGGGAGTTGGGATTTCTGGGACTTTGCTGAAAAATGGTCAGTTCACCATAGGGAGTTGGGATTTCTGGGACTTTGCTGAAAAATGGTCAGTTCACCATAGGGAGTTGGGATTTCTGGGACTTTGCTGAAAAATGGTCAGTTCACCATAGGGAGTTGGGATTTCTGGGACTTTGCTGAAAAATGGTCAGTTCACCATAGGGAGTTGGGATTTCTGGGACTTTGCTGAAAAATGGTCAGTTCACCATAGGGAGTTGGGATTTCTGGGACTTTGCTGAAAAATGGTCATAGGCAGGCTATGGGCAAAGGAAGTTGGCAATAACAGCGCTTCCGTAGTACCGTGTATTTTACCTGACCTCCTCACCATTGGATGATGATGATGATGATGATATTCGAGGTCGAATCCTCCGGGACTCGCCTGAAAATGCTGACATCTCATGAACTGTGATGGTCCGCCTGTGGTGGTCCGGGGACGAAAGAGAAGAAGAAGAGGGGCTGCCTCGTTGCTTGAAGCAAGAGACAAATCGGAGAACAAAGGCTTAATCTCAGAAGATCGTAGCAACAAGACTACTCTGCTTCTTACAATACCCCGTTCTTATTTAAGTCGTCTGCAAAGGATTTTGCTCCGGCAATGTTTCTAGTTTGATTGGTGGGTAAGCTTGGAGCACATTCAGCTCCTTGCCGAGCCCACCGAGTTGTGACGCAGGAAGCCCTTGCGGACCTCTACTCTTGTTCGCCAAAAACTGCCAGAGAAGACATCGTTGCGTTCTAGCATGGATTCTGACTTAGAGGCGTTCAGTCATAATCCTACGGATGGTAGCTTCGCACCATTGCCTTTTCAAGCAAGTGCAAATGCCAAATGTCCGAATCAACGGTTCCTCTCGTACTGAGTTGAATTACTATTGCAACAACACTTTCATCAGTAGGGTAAAACTAACCTGTCTCACGACGGTCTAAACCCAGCTCACGTTCCCTATTGGCGGGTGAACAATCCGACACTTGGTGAATTCTGCTTCACAATGATAGGAAGAGCCGACATCGAAGGATCAAAAAGCAACGTCGCTATGAACGCTTGGCTGCCACAAGCCAGTTATCCCTATGGTAATTTTTCTGACACCTCTAGCTTAAAACTCTTAAAGACTAAAGGATCGATAGGCCATGCTTTCACAGTTTGTATTCATACTGAAAATCAAAATCAAGTGAGCATTTACCCTTTTGTTCTACATGAGATTTCTGTTCTCATTGAGCTCACCTTAGGACACCTGCGTTATCGTTTGACAGATGTGCCGCCCCAGCCAAACTCCCCACCTGACTGTGTCTTCGACTCGGATCGGCCCGCGAATGGGACCTTTGGTCTAGAAGGTGGGCCGTGAAGCCCAGCTCCGCCTCATCGAATAAGTAAAAAAACGATGAAAGTAGTGGTATTTCACCGGTGGCCGAAACCTCCCACTTATCCTACACCTCTCATGTCTTC